CCATCTAAACGAACTCGAGTAACGGTTGACGCAAGCCCAGTCGGATTAGGGGCCATTTTATCACAGTTTGATAGGGACGACAACGAGCGAATTGTTGCGTATGAAAGCCGTAGTCTCAGCAAGGTTGAACAGCGATATTCACAAACTGAAAAAGAGGCGCTTGGAGTTGTTTTTGGTTGTGAGAAATTTCACATGTATCTTATTGGAATTGAATTTAAGTTGGATACGGATCATAAACCGCTAGAAGTTATATACCATCCCAAAGCGAAGCCATCTGCGCAGATTGAACGATGGGCTCTCCGGTTACAACAGTACCAATTTAAACTACGACACCGACCCGGTAAAACCAATCCAGCTGATGTACTATCCCGTAAACCTTTGTCAACACTCGAAAAGAACAGCATTGCAGAAGATTATGTAAATTTTCTAACCGACCATCTAGTGCCTAAATCTATGAACAGGCAGGAAATTGAGGAAGCGTGTCAGAAGGATGCTGAAATGCAAGCTCTTATAACGGCTATTAGAAAAAACCGCTGGCCACGAAAACCAGCTAGTAACACTAACAACAATAAGAACGATAATAACATCGATCTAACGCCATATCACAGTATTTGTAACGAACAAACAATTTCAGATAACGGTATCGTACTACGAGGAAACCGACTTGTTATGCCCAAGAAACTACGAAGCCACACATTAAATATTGCACATGCGCAACACCAGGGTATCGTGAAAACTAAAACCTTACTTCGAACAAAAGTATGGTGGCCGGGAATAGATCGCCAGGTTGAAACGCTTATCGCTTCCTGTATACACTGTCAAGCTGCAAACAATTCCAAAATATTTGAACCGCTGAAAATGACCACAATGCCATCCAAACCATGGCAAGTGATTCATGGGGATTTTTGTGGACCATTCCCCAGTGGGGATTATCTTTTAGTGTTAATGGATGAACATTCCCGATTTCCTGAAGTTGAAATCATTCGATCAACTACAACCGCGGTCACTATTGGAAAGCTCGAGAAAATATTTTCGGTTCATGGATTCCCAATTGAATTTGTTAGCGATAATGATCCACCTTTTAACGGACATGAATTCCACAACTATTTAGCACGAAATGGAATCAAACATCGAAAGATTACGCCATACTGGCCGCAGGCCAATGCACACGTAGAACGGTTTATGAGGACTATTGAAAAATCAGTTAGAATTGCTCACTCACAAGGAAAGAATTGGAAAACGGAACTTTATCGTTTTCTCCTAGATTACCGCACAACACCACATGTTACTACAGGAATTGCACCGGCAGATCTACTATTCAACCGACAAATACGTAACAGACTTCCAGATAGCAACGCGATGATCCAAGAAGGGAAAGGGGGAAATCAGGGTAAAACGTCTCCAACTACAAGTCGTGAAGCTGTACTTCAACGCGATGCCAGGGAGAAAAACAAAATCAAGGATCGGGCAGATATACGAAACAGAGCTAAAGAACCCCAATTCCGTATCGGAGATTTGGTATTGTTGAAACAAAGTCAAAGAAATAAGTTATATTTACCTTGGGATCCATCACCATATCGCGTAACGAGTATAAAAGGATCACAAATCACGGCCAAACGCCGAGGGGTTACGGTCACACGAAATTCGTCACATTTCAAGCGTGTAATTCCTTACTTGCAAGAAGTGGACGATCCATATTCAAACAGTAGTGAAGAAGAAGAGGAAGAAATGGCAGCCCAGCAACAACAGGAAGATCCAGAGAATGATATCGCAAGTGAGTTATCAGACGAAGATATTGATAATGCAGAGCAAGACCAGCCGTTAAATCGATATCCAAGGAGAGAAAATCGAGACATTCGACCACAATATTATGAAGAAGAAATCGGTTGAACTGGACTGTATTAGATTGAATATTTACGTTACTGAAAAACAGTACCCGATAAGTAAGAACATTTATGGTATTTTAGTATAGTATCGGGAAACACTTAAAAACTTCTTAGGTTAAAATTAATTGGTTATTTATGATTGTTTGAGTTACGTTTGGTCCATAAAGAAAAGGGGAGATGTGATGTACGGGTTAGAGACGGGGGACTGGGGAGATTCAAGATGGCGTGACTGAGTGAAAGCTTAAATTGTATATTGTATTAAGATTGAATAAAACCGTTGAGTTCGAGAATATTATACTTTCCAGTGTTTAAAAAGATTTCCTCAATTACTTTTGGGCATTGTTTTGAAGGTACAGTTTCAAATTTACTTATTGCTTGAGCAAAAATGAATTTTTCCCAATAACGAGCGAATATGATCATATTTTTGAGTATAATTTAATTCAGTATTTTGAGTCGATCACTGTGAGTGCACTGTAGTTACTCAAGTTTTTGCGTGAAGATTTCCTGCAGTGCAGGAACTCACATGTGATTTTATACTAGTGAAAAACTTGGCATGTATCACTGTTGTTAGCGGACATATTGAATAACTTCTGGAAGCTATGGAGCAACTTTGGTTCTGAGTTTGTATAAGAAGTTACTGGAAGACTGCATTATAACTTTGTCCGGCTCAAGGTCATTTTGTGTTATTGGAAGTCAATGGTTAGTTACTTATATAGTATGTATGTCTATTATGTGACAAAAAATGACCGAAATATATTAAGACAGCTATTAAAATCAGTATAATATATTGTGTCTTATAAGTGAAATATAATTGAAATATAAGTGATATTCTTGTAAGTTTTTAACACAATCGCTGAGAAATAAAATTTGGGAAAATGTAGGCTTGGAAATGTAGGATCTCGACCCCTCTACCCCCGCCTCCCTTTCAAGAATCTTTAACACATATCACGGTTTTTCAAGTTGTGGACAGCATCAACATGCTCTTTCCATTGCGATCTGGCGCTATATGGATCTAGGCTTGCCCTGTTAGCTGAGCTCAGACTATTGAGTATGTTTCTTCCGCCAAAATTGGCGGAAGAAACATACTTAGCTTACGATTGTGTGGTCGTCATGGAATTCAAATTGATGATTATTGGAATTAAAGCAACTTTTTCACCAAGAACAACCTAATACTTAAAAAGGTTATCCAGAAAATATTCTTTGCAATACATATTGTAGCATGCAGTTGTGTTAAACGACATTTTGTGCTCGTCAGTTACCGGGATTGGTGAATATTAATGGATTTCGCCGTTGCTGGCTGGCTGGCTGACTGGCTAGCCGGCCGTTTCGTTTGGTTCAAGTGAGACCCCAGTTATCTAATGTCAAATTGTTTTTGGATGCAAAGATATTAGTATGATTAGTATGAAGCCGGCACCCCGTTTTTCGGGCCAACACAGCAAACGGGAATCATATACAAACATCTTCTTAGTGTGTTTTCTTGCTATAAATATAAATACCTATAAATATATATATATATATATATATATATATATATATATATATATATATATATATATATATATATATACACATGCAAACGGTCGAAACTCACTGAAGGTATTGTAGTTGACGTGAGTAGAAGCTTTACTGTAGATCAGCTTCACTCCAGCTGGAAATCTGTTTTCCCATTTGCATTCAGCGCTGTCTCCAACAGATAGCCAGCCAACGTCTCGAGGACAGTTTCCGTAAACGTTATTAATATGAAAATCTCTGCAACCTGTTCCCCAGCATGGACCACCAATAGTAAAGTAGTTCTTTTTCTCACTTAAAATATCCTGCCATGGTGATTCAAGAACATTTGCAGCAGAAAACCAGTTCGCGTTGTTGCTGTTAGCAGCATTGAACCTGAGCACAACCTCTTCCTTCCCACCCTTGTACAAAACCACTCTAGCCTAGAAAAATTGACAATTGTAAGAACTGTGATGATTGTTCGCTTTCACAAATCCTTGAAGTACTTAATTAAATTGAAAGAAGGGGTAGCGGAACAGGGGGCAAGCCGGAATTGAAATGAATATAACTGGAACGCCTAAACGAATATAACTGAATATGAATATAATGAATATTACTGCAATAATAGTGAAGTGGTATAGCTAAATTTACAAAATAAGGTTTTTACCAACGCTGAAAACCTCTATTAATGCATTTATTCACGTAAATCTTTCTGGAAGACTTTACTTTTAGCTTTTTTCTACTAAGGTGGCTCAATACAATTCTTAGAAAAAAAAGGAAAAATCACGATTAAGATCCGTATTTTTGGACAATCATTACTTGTTGAAAAACAAAAAGTGTCTTACTGATGTAAAACAACATATAAAGAGTTTGAACATGTTGCACAACAGTTACACAACTGCTGTTACTATGCCAACAATAACCTCTAAATGTTGGCGGATATTTAGGAAAGTATTTTAACTCGTAAAAGATATCTGTAACTCCCAACATGTATTTCAAAAAATGAGTTTTCTTAGTACAATCAATTGCTTTTATATACGATACTAGAAAAATAGTTGGGCGAAACAAATATTATTGTAAATAACAACTTGCTAGTAATTTTCTTTTAACGTCGGCTCAACAAAATGTTTTTTAAATAGTCAACGTAATTCAGTATACTATAAGAGAAACCATCTTATATGAGATAAACCGATGTCGTTTTCGAGTTGTATTATTTTAAAACAAAATATCCGCCACATTGAAAGGTCATTAAAGGTCAAAGATAAAAGTAAAGTATCTTTTAAACAATAACACCACTAAAACCTCGATTTGACAGGCTTTTGGAAACGCTAAAAAGCTAATAAATTTAAACAAACGGTCATAATAGAACAAAAACTATATTTCCATAAGTAACAATAAATATATATTGGTTCAGTCATACCTCGGATGGCTTGAACGCACTCCAGTTTTGAACAATACGGTTTTTGTAATGATGTTTAAAATCATTATTTGTTTTAAGAGCTGCCAGCGAGTATTCATAGGTTGGGAACGGCATTTTCCAAGTTTTTACTGGTCCTCCAGAGATTCCGGCTATAAGCTTAAATACCAAAGTCCAACCTGTAAATTCAATAAATATAAAAAAAATGGATTTGCAAGAGCCAATCTATCTGATTCGAACTGATTTTATTTCAAAGATTATCAGTAAGTTAAATAGTTTAAGTGCTATTAAAAACATGAGCAGCAGTGTTTTATCAAATATAAAGATACCTGTACAAGGCGAAGCCGAGTGTCTTTAGGTCTGATAAAACATGCAATTGGAATGTTTTAAATAGCTTCAAAAAGATTGATCTCGTAATGTCATTGGCGACGTAATGTTAAAAAATACGTTGTGTAAGTCGACAAAATCAAAGTTAGAGTTCACGTAAATAAAGGGAAATCTCTATCACATATAAAGATACGACACGCTTATAATTTTCCTTTGTGTTTTCCTTATGCATTATTAATACGTTTTTGAATGAACATTTACAAAACTTTTACGAAACGTCCAAAATATTATTATACATTACATTAAATTGTGCAATGGATAGGTAACTAAAATAATTTAGCAACCGCGCAGGCACAGTGGCACAGACACACATCGCGCATGCACAGGCAATCTTCGCTCACAGACGCTTTTGAATTTGTGCCGGCACATTTTAATTAAAATACTTTAAAACGAAGAAAATCATATATGCCAAGTAGAAGTGCAAATTGCAAAATCCTACCTATAACTTGCACGTCCGCTGCGTCTCAGGACGGTTCTAGTGCAATTATTGTTGTTCTATACAACTACAAATTATCATTTCGTTTCCGCCAATGATTGCTGTGTTACACGTACACTTTAGGAGAAAAAATATAGTAAGGCCTATATTTTCAAGATACGAAATTGGTTAAAATAGCCTTCGCCATCTTGAATTTTATCCACTAATATTATTAGCTTGTATAAATAAATCTCTAAATAACTGCTCAGCAGGACGTTTCTATCTCGTATCTGGGCTGCCGAGACGGATAATTACCTCCAGCTTCCATGTTACAAAAGACAGGAAATGGTTTTGATTGACCTAACAAAGAGAGTTATGACGATCATTGTAATATATATGCTCAGCTAAATTACTGTCTTTCAATTTACAGATTAAAATATCAGTGTAATGTATCTACCATTTAATGCTAACTTGCAGATTTACTGTGAATAGAAATGTGTATGGATTTATTCTCAACGGTATTTACCGGTTAAATCACCTTATTTATTCATTATACATTCAAGTTTTATTCTAGTTTCTGATTTGTCAACAATCCCCTGCTATAAGTCTCAATATACAGCAACTGTCACAATATTGCTATCGGGCCGAACTTCGGAGCAAGCGGGCGCCAGTGCAGTCGACAGGTTGTATAAAAGCCAACAAAATCTTCAACCCGAAACACATGGAATTGTCCAAATAATTGTAAGAAAACAATTGAAACAGATCCTGGGAACAAAGCCAAACAACTTTCGGCGAGTATTTATTATCTTAATTCTCTTTAAATATTTTGTTTTCTGTATCTTTCCCAAAGCCACCAATTGTAATATTTATAATAAAACCATTACCAACATTATCATAACTTATTACCAATTATTACAACCGGCCAACGCACGCGCATGATATTTAACAAATATATTTCATAAACTCCGGTCCAAATATATGAGGCAACAAGTGGTATGACTTCGTCTATTCCTTTCTTCTGCCCACATATTATACTAGGGTAGCCCTATAAGGTCAAATCTCGCAGCCTTCAACGGTTGTCATAGGAACACTCTTCCAATGAATGCTGCGGTAACTTTTTTATCGTGTGCTTGGGACATAGGCAGATAAGTGCTTTTTAACCGTAACTGTAAAACTCATGGGCGTACAGGGCAGGGGGGGGGGGGCGGCAGCCCCCACAATTTGTTAGGCAGTCGGGCAATATTCGCTGAACAGTCTGGCAATTTTTTGTTTTTTATAAAAATAAATGGGACAAATTCTGTAAATTTTGTGGTCAATTTTGTGATGTTTCGAAAATTTCTGTTAGGTTCATGTGCAACTGATTTCTTTTGTAAACAATACCTTTTTATAGATTTCATGTCTTTGCGCACACTTAATTTTATGATTTAGTTACAATTCCAAGCGATTTTCATGACGGTTTTCCCGTGAGGATCCTAGTACGTCTGTCACTAATACTCACTATCAGATTACCAAGGCATGTTGTCTTTAGTGAGAACACGGCTCCTCATCGGAGCTTAAGTAAAGGCATGTGCAACTGATTTCTTTTGTAAACTATACCTCAGTCTTCTGTAGTTATATTAATGTAAATAAAACTTGTGTAAGGCATGCGATAAGCTTTTATCGAAGTAAAGAAACCAGCTAACTCATGACACGCAGCAGGAGGCGAAGTAAACAAATATGGCACAACACATCAAGGCAACGTATGAAAATTACATGCGGTTTACAGACCACTTTCTTGCTTTTCTTTTGAACAACTAACCATTCATTTAAGTCAATAATTGGTAAATCTAAATTTTCCCCTTGAGAATTTTCGATCTAGTGCAGTCTAACAATTTCATTTTCTCCAATACACTGCGAAAATTGACAAATTTGTAACTTATTGGCCGATTCCTCTTGCGCTGTTAAAATTAAGGGGGGGGGGTTGTCAAGGGGGAATTGTTTATATATACATTATCTTATTTAGGGTTCCCTAGAAAGTCATTTTAGGCCTTCCATGTGACCGTGTAAACCCAAAAGTGACATCAAAAGCTATGGCAATCTGGAGTCATATTTCTCCATTTAGGTAAATTCTGTTAGGCTGTAAGGAATTTTATGGTCAAGATGAGATATATATCTTCCTATTTCTACCTTAACTTAGTCGATAAGATACAAAAAAGCGAGGACGCGCAAAATCGCGTAGCATACTTCGCGTGAAAATGGAACCGCATGACGCTAAGTTCTAATTAAGTAATTGAAACCTTAGCGGGAGCAAAATGCTTAGCAACCGACCACCGTGTTTGTCTTAGAGTAAATATGCTATTGTTGATATAAGAACGTTGCCGTTGCATTTGCCAAACTCTTTTATACAGCAAAAACATCGTTTCCGTCTAGAATATTGTTAAGAGCTTTTGACTGCCCATCCTTTAACTTTAAACAACGATTTAGTTTTCTATACAACCCGTCTAATACATTTTTTATCGCTATAGAACGGTATTTTTCGATTTCTGCACTTTGTGTTGACACCTTGAATATACTGTTGTGTAAATTTCATTACCTTTTATGGCAGTATAATGTAGTTAATTCAATTTCAACCAATGGGAACCCTGTGTCGTTCTAAGCAGCGCACAAACGCGTTTTTATTAGCTAGACCTGTAGGCTCTCTCTCAAATTTCAAAGAGAGTTCAAAGAGAGCCTGTTCGCAGGCTAATGTGAAACAGCCTATGAAGACACCCATTTCCTTGTCGATGTGAAACACGAAGACGACTCACTGTCTGTCAGAGAAATAACCTCAACGAATTAGATGCTTCTAAACCGGAAAATATGGCTATTAAGCCACCACATTTGGCAAAATTAGGCCACTAGACATGACTATTAAGTCACCAGATATGGATATACTTAGGAAAGAAACTGATCTCAAACTTGTGTATCCCACTAACGAGTTTCATGCCTCGCATTTGTACGACCCTGATGACCTGGCCATCACATGGACACCTTCAGAAGTATTTACCTCAGTTCTTGAGAAAATTTTTGCCGAGAATTAACTTATGATCAGGTTTGTGAAATTTTAGAAACTCAGGCCAGGGTCAAACGTGGAACTTTTCATGCGCCGAACATAATGCAAATGAAGTGAAACAAAGAACTTAGCTCATTAACATTAGGTTCGGCGCAAGAAAAGTTTGACGTTTTACCCTGGTCTCAATCAGTTTCCTCAATCAATGCCTTTGTGGCCCCAACACTTGATCCGTCAGTGGCATATCACATACTCCAAAACAATAACTAATTCGCCCAATAACTAGAAGAAGAGTCGAAATTTGTCCAACGGGCCGTACAGGGCCATTCTGCACGCAACATGATCAGCTTGAAAACAATGCTCCTGTGGATCTTGTAATTTTGAAAATAACTGTCAACAAACACTTTGCCACCCTTCGCTGCAAAAACGTCGTTGCTTCTGTTTACAAGGGAAATTTCGATTTGGCCAACCAACCCCCGCACAATGCAGAAAAGCTTGGCTTCAAAACAACTTTCACGGTGTTTAGCAAAAACCTATCTCAAGTTTTCAATAGGCTCAAGCCGCAAGGCCCCAGATTTTCCAACTCCAACCACTCAGGGTACAATCAATCAAAATACCAAAATTTTCAGTTTCCTCGCTAGAAGCAAAACATTTTTCGAAACCCACTGTTGTCCTACCAACCGCAGCCCAACTCACAAAGCACATGAGACAGTTGAAGGAACTGACTTCGGGTCGCGAAATATTAAACATTGTGTCAGGTTTGAAAATCCGCTTTTGTCGTGTTCCATCAAAAAAATACTCCTCAAGTTACACAGGTGTTGCAGGAATGAACTCCAATTATGAGGCAGATATTCAAAGGCTTCTGAATATGGGAGCCGCTCGTTAAGTGGCACTAACAAAAGATGACTTTTACAGCCGTCTGTTTTCAGTCTTCAATAAGAGCGGGACCATGCGCCTTATGATGGACCTCAGCTCTCTCAATTAGTTAAAATTTGCCATTTCCAAATGGAACGTCTTTCAGTAAGAAAGGCTCTCTTAAAACATGGTAACTTCATGACCAAACTAGACTTAAAAGTGCTTATTTTTCAGTAGCAGTCCACCCAGAATCTCCAAAGTTCCCACGCTTTATTTGGAAAAACAAGTTTCAAGCTATCTCCTTCGGTTTGAATATCGTCCCTCGCCTATTCACACGGTTGTGTGAAAGAGAGACCTATTTTTGTAGCACATCATATCCCAGGCAGGTCGAAAAGTCTTGCAGATCGGGAATCTCAACGGCTTTTTGTGGACATCACCGATTGGATGCTAGATCGCAGATTTAAAAGACCATTTCTTGAGCATTGTCAAACAAAGCTTTTTGCCACGGGAGTAACTCACCAGCTCCCAACCTACAGCAGCTGGAGGCCAGATCTCAAACTCTCCACTCGGATAGGATGTGCTTTCATACTATTCACTCCGATAACGAGGTTTAACAAATTAGTGACCAGCAAAACCGAAATTGTATAAGCCGAAATTTGTATAAATTGCCGAATAGCTCAAAATTGGCAAACAAACCTTGGTGGCTTCTACTCCTTCATTGTTACCTATTTATTAGATTCGTTTGATAATTGTAATCAGTATCGATTTCTCAATGTCCTAAGGTGTTTATTTTCTGTCACACACCCGAAGCTGGATGGTTCTCCAGTGGGACAGCATCCCAATGTAAATTTGTTGAGAGGGATTGTCGTCCAAAGCCCCCTTTTCTCCCGAACCCAGATATTCTGAGACTTGGGACGCATCTACGGTGACCTACCACTTGGTAAAAATGGGGGATAACTCGGAACTTTTCTTAAAACATCTTTCTTGGAAATTGGCTACCATTTTTGCAATTATACATTCCCTCAGAGAGTTCCTTCTCTGCCACACCTAAACTTAAATCGTTATCGGATGGCATCAGAAGGTCTCACGTTTACATTACTAAAAATTAAATCTAGCGGACATGATGAACCAGTCGATCTGGCCATTGTTCCCATATTCACAGAAGATACAAAGCTTTGCCCTGTTGCCTGTTTTAAGCAGTACATAGCGTCTACAACTACATTCCGGATGACACCAGAGAGTGAACGTAAAAGCTTTTTTATCTCGTACATCAAACCTCTTCGTTCAGATTCTCCATCCACCATAGCTAGATCGATTCGGGATATTCTGGCTGAATCTGGTGTCGAAACCTCTATTTTTAAAGCACATTCAGTGCGAGAGGATTCAACCTCCGCAACAGCTTATGCTTCAGTGCCTATTGAGGAAATCTTGAAGATGGCTGATTGGTCCAATGCATCAACATTGCAGACATTCTACTATAGATCAGTGGTAAACACAAACTTTGGTGGTGCAATTCTTGCGCATAAACATAAATAGTTTATTTAGTTCATGTTGAAAATTTCTTTGTCAATGTTGTCAATAACACTTTGGGTTGACTATGGCGTTCATGTCTTAAAATCTACCACTTGTACGTAACCTAATATATTTCGACCGGAGTTAATCAAATATAATTCCAATTATTAGCCTGATAGTATAATTGAGGATATATCAGTGAACGAGGGGAGAAATATATGATTCCCACCCAAAACGAGTCCTGAGGGTTTCCTAATTTGCGAGTTACGTTTGGAGTTAAAAAAATCACCGGAGCATCATGATAAGAGTGTTCCTTTGACAACCGTTGAAGACTGTTGTCCGAAGAACGATAAGGACGAAGTCAGACCACTTAATTGTAGTCTCGTACATTTCTCCCTTCGTGCACTCATTAAGAAACGCTGAACTTAATATAATAAACTATACCAACAGCAAAAACTAAACGCTATGCTAATTCTTTCATGGTGCATTATAGCGATCTCTTTGATAAAACAAAAATATATAGTGTTTCTAAAGTTTGTACGAACTTAAGAATCTTAAATTATATATAATCGGCGATTAGTTAAATTTATTTGCTATTTTTCTGTAATTTTAAAATACTAGTATTTAAATTCTTATATATTTGTCAAGTTACGCAATTGCATTGCAGTGTCACTACCATTCTCTTACACTATAAGATAAAACTATTCATCTATTTAACTAGATCTTGAGGCAATGTAGTCAAAATTTGTTTATATAAAAAGAATGAGTTACCAATTATAATCCAGTATATTCCATCTTTAGCATCATCGCATTTTTGCTTCAAAATTTCTGCGCATGAACTTCCTGGGAGTCCCTGAGAGCCATAGTCAGCTGCACAGTGCTGTGTGATATTTCAAATTAACATTTATATAATGAGCTCGAGCCGTATATGAGTTGATAGTGAGTTTAAGATACCCCGTTTCTGGGGTACGGGTACGGGTAGCATGATTTTGGTTAGTAATATGTTAGATTGTTAGGTGCGCATTTTTCGCATTATATCATTGTCTATTGCAAGAAAACAGAAAACGTATGATCGAATTACAGACATCAGTAAAATATAGCCGGTAAATAAGATGACACTACTCGTACCCGTACACTGAAACCGGGTTATCTTAAACTCACTGATAGCTGACGAGGTGCGTACAACCGAGTCGCCTATTATATATATATATATATATATATATATATATATATATATATATATATATATATATATATATATATATATATATATATATATATATATATATAGCGCATATATAGTCTTTCTGGAAACTAAACAGAAGTCATTGTATTATGTTTTTGTCTGAGTTTATGTTAGGCCTAATTTGTGCAGGGGCACGGTGATTGAGCTCATTGTATTTTCGTAGAATGAAGTAACCATCCAATAAGGATAGCTGAGATGAAACGTGCGACCACGATGAACAATATTTAATGAAGTTGAGACAAAGGATTTGTGCATGGTGAGGTACAGTTTAACATCAAGCAAAGGTCTTCTATTTTGTAGCTTTGAAGTTTGCCAGGTTTCCAGACCATCATATCTTGACAGACTATATATATAGGGCGAGGGGGAAGAGAGATGCCTATTTTTGGAGTTGAAAAAAGGGATATACGACCATACGGGTTATTGGATCTGGGAAAACGGACACAAAAGTGTGAATGATAATTCAAAAACAGACACGAAAATGGCATTGCAAAGAGAATTTTAGAGGGACATTTTAGAGTTTAAAAAACTTCATGGAAGTGTACGGAGAAATGTTTTATTCAGACCTGTACTGTATGCCTAAAAACTTCGTTCAGCTCTTTTCAGAGTGGAGGTCATTTTTCTGCTGTTGGGAGACACTGATTTATTATTATATGTAGTATATATGTACAGTATATGGTATGCGACAAATAATGACAGGTATTGACTTTGACCTTTTATGTCGTAAAGTTGTTTCTGAAGATAGCTATTGAAAGGAGAATATTGTGTTTTAAAAGTCAGCACACAAATTTAAATTTAAATATGAAACACCAGTTCAGGTATATTCTTTTAAGTTTGCAGTTAAAACTGGGATTTAGAAAAATGGCTGCGATACCGGAATTGATAAAAAAGGAAACTGGGAAATTGAGGGCACCATCTTCATCCCCACATATCTATTATTTTGAGATTTTGTTTATAACTAACGTAAACTCAAATTTGGCAATATAAAACACGGACAGTATAGTGCACCCTCTTCAGACCATAGCCGGCGGAAAGACGCCGGTGGGGATAACGCGGGGGGGGGGGGGGGGGAGGTAATTAGGCAAAATATTACTTGCGTCTGTGGCATTTACAACTTACCTTTTTGCATCCAAATGCACTTTCTAAAACGAAGCCAAACAGAAACAAAAGAAGGCATTGATTGGCCAGCTTCATTGTTTTAACTTACACTAGAAAGATTGAAAATAAGGGAAATTATGTTGGTGTTAATGCTGGTTTGGCAAGATTGCAGTATGGCGGAATCATTGTATTAACTTACACTAGACAGATTGAAAATAAGGGAAGTTATGTTGGTGTTAATGCTGGTTTGGAAAGACTGCAGTATAGCGGAAACCAGTGTGATGCTGACAATAGTCATGCGGATTTTGCGCTAGCTCCCCTAATAAACGTTTTGGCGGCAAAATTAGAAAGAAACATGTAAATAATAGGAATTAGGGTTATTTCGCGATACTGGTTGTGGTTGGACAACAAGACACGTACTGGTCTTCGCTCAGGTTATAAATTCAAACCCCAAACCGCTGACCCTAATTTATCAACGGAGAGATATGAATTTATAACCTTCGCTAAACTGCAGTTGTACCTCTGGTTTACAAGTACATATGCATTTACGTACAGATCCGTACATACTTTATTTAATTTAAACACGCTGGCTTCAACAACTATTAAAAACCACTTTCCACGAGGGGCGTGGTCAAACAAGACATACATCAACAATATATACAAGCAGTAAATTTATATTGAATTGGATTTTATTTATACATGAGCCATGAAATTAGAATAAATTATTTTAACGTATGATATAAATTATAAAGGGGATATATATATTACTATAGAACTTTTAGAAATAGCACAGTGTTCTCCAGATTGTAATTATTAGTTTTGGTCATGAGTTTACTTCGAATCGGTACTTCGAATCTTCATCAGAAGGACTGAACATTTGAATTTTCGCCCTGTTTTTGACGGTGTTGAAGTCTGTGGGAACGCCTGGTTGGTTGATGAATTTCAGTATGGTTACCATTGATTACTATGGATGGCAAGTGATTATTAGAGAGTGCTAGATTGGCGTTTACGGCAAACGTCAAACCGCTAACAAAGTTTTTGATTTTACAACTCTATTATAATAGCTTTTACACCAGTTTTGAAATATATTAAACAAGTATTAAACTTGTGCTATTTAGCAATGATTCAAGAAAGCAAAATAACCACTAGTATTGTATTCACCAAAGCAGTAAATTACGATTTAACGTTTGACGTTTACGTTCGGCGTATAAATTTCATGCTTTAATGACTACAAGCCCTCGTAGCAGTTCAAGCATGAAATTTATACGCAAACGTAAACTTTAAACGCTAAATCTTAATTTACTGCTTTAGTGCATGAATACGTGACGAGTGGTTAATTTTTCTTGAATTATTGTTAAATACCACAAGTTTAAAAATTGCGTAATATATTTCAAAACTGGTGTAAAAACTGCAGTTATAATGGAGTTGTAAAATCAAAAACTTCGTTTGCGGTTAGACGTTTGCCGTAAACGTGAATCTAAAACTCTCTATTGTTATCATGAGACGGTGTAGGGAAGGAAGTTGTGGGTGGGTTAAAGGTTAATGAAGATGAATTAGAAGATTTGTGCGAGCGTTTCAGTTGTCACGGGCATGTTTGGTCGTTGCTTGTCCTGGGCATCTCGTTTGATACCAGTCGAATTTATGTCCGTTGTCGTCTGTGTGTTTAGCTGGAAATGAGCTATGGTCGTGTCTGTTGATTACGTTTTGTGTTCTTTTAGTCTTGTCTGAATCTTTCTAAATGTTTGTCCAAAGTACTTATCCGGACAGTTTTTGCATGGGAAGATTAAAATGGCGTTATGTTTATCCGTTATATGTGTTTTGTCTTTGTGTTCAGTGAAGTTGGACCTAAGTTTGCATGTTGGTTTGTGTGCAACGTCAATGTTGAATGGTCGGAAGAGTCTGTCTGCCATTTCTGATGTAGTGTGTATGTAAGGAAATGTAATTCTCGTTTTAGTTTGGTTAAGTCTATCCGTGTGGTTTGTTGTTTATGTTGTAGTAACTTATTAATAAAGTCCATAAGGGAGTCATTTTTGTAGAGAGTAGTGTATAAATACTTGCGTTCGTCTTGTTTGGATTGATCAGTGTTACAATGTGTGTCAGTTCTGTTGAATAGAGTCTTTATGCAATTGACTTTGTGTTGTGTTGGATGATTGCTATTGTAATTTAATATTCGATCTGTGTGTGTTTTCTTGCGATAAACTTGTGTGGTTAAACGGCTGTTGTCTGTGTTTGTTATTAGGACGTCCAAAAATGTCAAGTTCTTTTTGTTCGGTAAATTTGAAGAAACAACAAACTAACAAACTAACACGGACGAACAACATACTAATACGGACCAACTTAACCAAACAAAAACGAGAATTACACTTCCTTACATACACGTGCACTATGTACATCAGAAATGGCAGCTAGACTCCTAGCTCCGACCATTCAACATTGACGTTGCACACAAACCAACATGCATACTTAGGTCCAACTTCACTAAAGACAAAGACAAAGACAAGACACATATAACGGATAAACATAACGCCATTTAAATATTCCCATGCAAAAACAGTCCGGATAAGTACATTGGACAACCATTTAGGAAGATTCAGACAAGATTAACAGAACACAAAACGCAATCAAGAGACACGACCATAGCTCACTTCCAGCTAAACACACAGACGACAACGGACATAAATTCGACTTGTATCAAACGAGATGCCTAGGATAAGCAACGACCAAACATGCCCGTGAGTTTAAAGAAGCGTGGCATAGTTTAGAAAACAAACATTTAACCGCCACATTGACATCCCTACAATGTACTTACAACTGAAACGCTCGCACAAATCTCCTAATTCATCTTCATTAACCTTTAGCCTTCCCTATACACCGTCTCATGATAACAATAATCACCCGCATTCCATAGTAACCAATGTTAACCAACATAGTTAAATCCATCAACCAATCGGACGATCGATCCCATAGACTTCATCACCGTCAACAACGGGCGAAAATTAAAATGATCAATCCTCCTAATGAAGATTCGAAGTACCGAGTCGAAAGCTCAAAACAAATAATTACAATCCGGAGAACACTGTATAATTTGTAAAAATTATAATTTAAGAAAATGCCCGGATTACAAATCTTCAAACATACATGCATGTTCGGTGAGTTGTGGATTGGACGAACCTCGGGTGGCTGGAATTTTCTCGAACTGACCTGGCTTTGCTTGGTGAGTTCGGGGATCTTCCAGCCGTCATCGGTGCGTCCAATCCCGGACTCACCTCCTTGCAGGTATGTTTATTAAAAATCCTATTTAAGTAAGGTAGTTTATCTATCCCTTTATTGTTAACATCAATTTACTTAACGCTGAGTTGAAAGTTATGTATAAGGTATTGAGACAGGAACGATTTGATGTCATTCCCAGTGTACAAGATGCTGCAAAAGTTGGCTATAATGGTTAATGACCTTCGAACATTTTGTCGCTGCTATAGCGTTTACTCCCTACACACGTAAAAACGAACTAGTTGTTACAAGTCTGTTCACAAGCTGTCGACAAGTTGTGTCCGTACTGCTTGTTACCAGTTGTTGGAACAAGCTGTTTTAAAACAACTTGTAACAACCTTGTTAATTTTATCAGACTTGTTACAAGGTTGCTCTAACAAGTCTGGTACAGTCATGATGAACAAGAAGGTTACAAGGTTGACGACACAAGGTTGTAACATTATTGATATATCACGATTGACTTGTTGGACCAACCTTGTAACAAGACTGATAACATTAACCAGGTTGTTACAAGTTGATAACTGCAGCTTGTTCCAACCTTGTTGACAACTTGGGACAAGCAGTGCGAACAAAACTTGTTGACGGCTTGTTGGCAGACTTGCTACAAGATGTGAGATTTTTACGCGTGTATATATACGCTCAAGTGAACAAGTTGCATGTATTAGTCAATTACGTTGCCTCCGATGGCTATAGCAGCTGTTCTGCCAAGCTGAAACGTATGAAGAAAATATCACTTTGCTAAAAAAAGTTTATATGTTGAGACTCAAAACGAGATGTATTTGCTCGACATAAGTTGCAACACGAATACAACAAACCCGCCGAAACGTTGGATGAATACTTACAGGAACTAAAACTTCTGTGTAAAGATTGCAATTTCTGCAAAGTTTCTGCAACTCAACACCGTAATGAAGCTGTTCGTGATGAACTTACAGTGGTCTACTGTCTGTATCGAAAACAAAACCTTGGATTTACAAACAGCATTTGATCAAGCTCTAGCTCTGGAGACGGCGCAGAAAAGCTACGAGACTTACAACTTGAATACCCTAACAAGAGCTGCTGCGACTTCCTCAACAGAACCCGAGGAACAGAACAAATTAAGGGAAGAAACGGGTGAGAGGTATGTAGCATTCACTTAACGTTGTGCTAAATGTTTCTTTTGTAGTATTAGTCCGCATGCACGCTCAATATGCCCAGCAAGAGAAGCTATTAATTTTGTAACAAGTGTAAGAAGAGAGGGTATTATCGGAGAGTTTGTCGTTTTACTGCCATGTTGTTCTGCTGAAGATTCAACACATGCACAATAATAATTTTGGGTGGAACAAGCAAGTCATTGCATAGTTCATAGTACTGTACTGCTCAGAAGTAACCTAATGCTGCGAACGCGTTCGGAACGCGTTCCAAAACGCGTTCGGAACACCTTCAAGAACGCGTTCGGATCACCTTCATGAATGCGTTCGGAAACTCTTCGAGAACGCGTTCTTGAATGCGTTCTGAAACTCATGTTTATTTCTCTCGTGATATTTCTCTTTCAAGCTTCGAATCTCTTCGGACTCAAATTCGTCTAGCTCGCATTATCCCACCAATTCAAATGCCCAAGAAAAAGAAATATATTTGGTCTTGAACAAACATGGCAACAGCACAAGTTAAAAATCTAATTCAAAGTTTAATGCGGTAGTAGCATGCACTTATCTTTTAAACTACAGTAAGTTCTTTCATATCATGCAATATTCATACAGTCAGTTCTGTTCATGGGATAGCGATGTTGTTAAAATTTGATTCAAAGCTCACACTTACAGATACGCTACGCCTGACGCAGTCGTGTAAGACTTGCAGAGAATGCAAATCTCAGTATTCCTTCCTGGACCAATCCAACTGATAAAATCGACGCAACCTTTTGAGCGACTCAGCTTGGATTTTAAGGTCTCTAACCAACGAACAATCAGAAAAATTTATGCTTGCTATAACAGACGAGTATTCTAAATTCCCTTTTGCCTTTCCATGTAAGTACGTCAGCGCTGTATCTACTACAAATTGTCTTATCCGATTTTTTTCTATCTTTGGTATGCCCGCACATATTCACTGTACAGAGGTATTGGCTTTATGGGTGCAAAGGTTATTTCAATTTAAGTATTTTCTGCTTCAGAAAGGAATCTCATCAAGCCGAATTACCCCATATAACCCTGGTGTAAACGGGCAAGTGGAACGTTTTAATGGCATTTTGCGACACGAGAAGTTCATACTAGCTGTTGGTAAGATGTTTTTCAATGACGCTCTACAGTCTATCAGATCGATAATTGTTGTGCACAGCCACCACTGTAACTCTGCACAAACGCCCCTTTATCCACCAACGTCGATCGACTGGTGGAACCTCAGTACCTTCACGATTAACCACCCCAGGCCCTGTTTTACTGAAGCACCAAGTGAGAAAATCTAAATTTTATTCGTTCGTATACGAGGTAGAGCTGATCGATGCGAATTCACAGTACGCATTTTGGATTCCCAAACGGAAGAGAATTGAAGGTACTGTAGCTTCAAAGTATCTCGCCTCCCCGCCCTCACCCACAAGTTGACAGGAGGATGGAGGAGATACAACACGAGTTATTGCACCGTCAGTTACATGTGACAACAGACATCAACGAAGATGTCTTGAATTTGACACCTGCCACAGCTGACGTCGAGCAAACGGTTAATACGTGCCTGAAATTAACAATGCGAGTATACTGAGGAATCAGTATCCGACACTCAGAACAAAAACCACCAGGTTGTCTGGTCTATGTATAATGCTGAAAGTACTGGAACTAGCAAGGTGAGCAGTGTAGTGACAATGAAATTACGAACGAATCATTGCTTTAAAAACTGGTACGATCGTGCGTATATAAGTGAAAAAGACAGCATATAAGCATTTTTCTTATATTAAAATCTTCAAATAAGTAGGAAAGCAAAGTTATTCTCGTGCGAGAATTTGAAATCAGTTTAATTCGAAGTCATCGTTTACCAAGATTGAAAAGGCAGTTTAATTCTAAGAACATTTTAAAAAGTTTTGCGAGGCGTTTGACTTTGAGGTTGAATTTTACATTAGATTGAAGCTTAGATTATTACGTATAGATTTAATATAGGTAAGCGACAATGTATTGAATTTGTATAATATTTACATGAAGTATTACTTTAAATCACTTGGGAACAGGCCATACATTAATTGCTGACGCAGCGAGCGAGCAAGTCAGCAGTTCAAATTCGCATTGAGCTCTGAAAGTAACATATTACTTCCGTTTCTCCGACCAGAATGTTCTGCTGTTCACCGACCAGAATGCATTGCTGTTCGTCGACAAGAATGTTTGCATGCATGATGCTATAAATACGGCGAATCTCATTACTCGTTAGTCAGTTTATATAAGCCGGTAACGATGCAGTTCTTTTGGTGTATTTTGTATTTCATTGTATGCGTGGTCTGTTGATTTCTGGCTGGTGTTACACTATATATACTGAATTTGTTTATTACAAACAATTTATATCGCTTAGAAAGCGAATTTATGCGTTTGTGCTCTTCGCCTTATTTTCTTTTGTTTTTTTTTCTTATTTCATTTAGCACTTAGCAGTAAAATCAACATTGCATTTGCACGTCCGAAAGCGTTCATTTCAAGCATTAAAAGCGAATCAATTAGTTTCACTTTGCTATAATTTAAACAGGGTTTAGGTTGTAGACTTTTTGTTTGAATATGATTTGACAATAAGGTAATTGACACGGAGACACGGAGATATTCGCAGTCGGACTGATAATTAGTTTTTTGCGTTACAAATAGCATTGGTTATTCTAATTCCTATCAACGCGGTTAGTTAGAATGTATTTTCAAATCCCAGGAGAAAAATAAGTAGCACATACATTGAAATGCTGGTTAGCAGCAGAATTATGCAAATTATAGTGTTTGCAGGTTTTTTGATACACCCTGTAGTTTTCGAAGTAACGTGGCTTCAATTAATTTGACGTCCTTGGATTCAAGTTTTGCTCCATGACCATGTTGTTCGAAATTCAGTTCTTTAACGATCGACTTCGCTTCAATAAAATCAAAAGAAAGGCAATTTGGTGAAGACGTATATGCAAGCGAAATAGAATATCAGCTAAGCACTTTAGGTATAAGTAGGTATATGTGAAACGGGCTTTTATGTTTACTAGCCATTTAAAAGTCCGTGCTTTATCAGATAAAACATTCGAGCTGCGCTCATGTGTTTTAAATCTGATAAAACTCCTGCTCGCGTTTTAACGTACCGGACTGTCCGCATTCACTGTACAGTTGTGGTCTTGTGATAGTTTGAAGTATATGTGTGATCTTTAATAGTGAACTATACAGTGTATCGTTGTTGTGTAATGGACCATTATTTGCATTATAGACTAAATCTTGGTCTAGACAAAAATTTCATCACAGCTTGAAAGAACATCACAAAATTAGAAATATACCAAAGTTTCATGGCAAAATGTTGAAAAATGCGGATAATATAGCCTTGCGAAATTTGCAATTTTCAGTCATTTTGTATTACAAACGAGAAATTGATGCCCCAACACCCGATTGGGCTGTCAATTTCCCGTGCGTAATACAAAATGCCTGAAAAACGGCAAACTTCGCAAGGCTATATTATCCGCATTTTGCAACATTTTGCAACGAAACTTTAGAATATTACTAATTTTGTGATGCTCTTTCAAGCTGGGATGAAATTTTTGTCTAGATCTGTCTAGATCAAAATTTAGTCTATAATGCAAATGGTCCATTAAAAGCATTTAATAATCTGTGTGCTCTTAAATTAATTATTAGTGAAAAGGGTAAAAAAATGGGTGCAAGTTCCATACTATTGTCGTTCTGATGTCAAATATATTAGAGTAAATGTAGGATATAGAAAGATTAAAAAAGTTTATGTTTAGATTCTCATGTTCCGCTCACAATAACGCTAGGGTTAGGGATGGGTTGTGATTACGGTCAAGATCGAAGATATATATTTGTGACCGAAACAAGGTTTTATTCATATTTACAATAATGACGTCACAACGATTAAGATAGTGTTGAGCTTACTGTCAGTTACGATGGGTTAGGAGCTCACGATATTGTATTTAATTGGGGTGCGTTGTTAATTTGGGAAGATGAGGCCGTTTTTTATATATCGTCAAACTAAGGAGCAAGTCAGCATTTATACTACCGATAAGTATACAAGTTAATAATTCTATATAGATAGTCATTTTGCAAATTTCTTTTGTGTAAAATAAATTATATTCTTGCTTATTAATGTAAAACATACTTCCGAAATGTCCTGGTAGCAGGTTATGTAATTCATACGGAAACATACACTGTCCTGTTTCTATTTTGCCAGTGTCATTAAATTTTAGTATCCGAAGATTCTTAATTAAAATCAAACATGTATGAGAATCGAATCTACTATTATTGTGGACATCGCTGCATGTAAGAATAATCGATGACATAATTAAAAATATAAGATTTGCTCACCAAATATATATACTGTTGAAAGAATTAGGAAAGCTTTGAACTTTGCTGAAAACCTTTTCTTGTATATTTCTTTATTCTAATTCAGATTGTTCGCGGTGAAGATTGCCCGAATACTGAGCTCTTGCTAGAATGTGTTGTTTTTATAAGCGTGTTCGCCCAGAAATATTTGCATTTATCAGTAGCCAATCAGATCCCTACGGTTTTGGAGTACAGCCCCCACTACTAACTGCTTGTCGTGCACACATGCATTTGTGCAGAAATAAAATTCGGTCCCAGGTCAAGGCCAATTTGAAAAACCTACGTAGGCAATAAAATATAAAGACATATACAAAAAATTGCTTTTCGTTCTTTATGTACTGTAGTATAGTATTGTAGTACATTAAGATTCTCAAAATCAGCGGAATAACTGTTGCAAATAGTGCATGTAGCTGCTGACTCGGTCAACATTTTTTCTCTTGGGGCTCCACCCACGGACGAATTATTAAAAGGGGTCACGTTCATAATGTTGGAAAACACGTGTCAGAATTCTGTTTCAGATGTTTACATTATTTCTGCATTAAAGTATTACAAGAAGGGATGTCTAGATTTTGTCAAACTTTGATATAGGTATGCAATTCATTGAATTTAAATCTAAAACGCTTAGTCACTTTAACGCATTGGCATATGCGGTTTCCATTCTATGTCAACAAAATTAGCCCATCTGTCTATTTATATTATCTATTTTATAACAACATTTTTATTCAAAATTTTAAACATGGATTCAATTGAACATTTTGATGATCTCATGCAATGAACTGTAGATTATCTTAAAGACAGATATTTCAAGGAAACTTTTGCCTTGAATATCTTGAATGAAGAGTAGCAAAACTTTCTTTATTTTATTTATTGATTGGATTCGCATTAACACAACATGATAACAACCATAACAAGAAAGAAGACCAGGAAGGGAGACCGCGACAGCATGAGACATGCAATTACTGCGGGCAGGAATTACGACATATATAGCACAATATTAACAACAAATAGCAGCATTTAAGAGGATTTTCCAGAATCCTAACTAAAAATGTGACTGATGTTTGTTGGTTTTGCATCTTAATTGGCGCGGGAGTCTGGATTTTATCAAACGACGTCG